AAAAAAAAAAAAAAAGTCCCATGAAGGATGGCAGGAGATTTAAAACTGGAACAGAAATGATGTTGTAAGTTGGCAGTTGGATGATACACAGCTCCTATGAGATAGCCAGATACCATCCTAGAGCCTCACTAAGGAAGACCAACTTTGCTAGAGAGCTGCATCCTTGATCACTGATGACTAGATTTCTGGAGGTGGCAGAACATCCAGGGGCCAGAACTGAGGATTTCAAAAGGAGAAGTGGTGATGCCAGGTCAGACAGGATCACTAAGGTTATTCATCCTTCAGTCTCTTGAAGGTTGGGCTCAGGCATGACCCAGAATGCAAAGGCAACTCCACAGAACCCTAGAAAAAACAGAAAGTAGTGCCCACATACAGCAGACCTGGAGAGCTGTCAAGGAATACTGGGCCTGTCTGTAAGTGGTACAGAGCTCAGCTGATTCCCAAGAGTAATCAAATAATTCACTCATGCAAATTCATATGTTAAAGCCCTAACCCCTAATGTGATAGTATTTGTGGATGGTGGCTTTGGGCAATAATTAGATTTAGATGAGCTCATGAAGCTAGGATCCTCACAATGGGATTAGTGCCCTTGTGAGGAGAGTCACCAGAGAACTTGCTCTTTCACTCTCTCTCTACCCGCCATGCGAGTACACAATGAGAAGGGGCCGCCATCTGCAGGATGAGAGACCTCACAAGAATCTGATTATTTTGGTACCCTGATCTCAGATTTCCATCCTATAGAATTGTAAGAAAATAAATGTCTGTTGTTTAAACCACCCAGTCTATGGTATTGTGTCATGGCAGGCCCCAACTAATACAGTGGCGATATAGTGGTGAACAGGAGACACATGGTCCCTACACTCATTGGTGGATGAATAGGGAAGATTGATATCAAAGTTTCCCCCACTTTTCAAATCCCACAGTCATTGCCTCAGTTCTAGCTGTGTTATGTATATATTGCTGTGTAACAAACTACCACACGCTTTGGTTTAAGATACCACACATTTATTTATTACCTTACAATTTCCATGGGTCAGAAGTCCATGTTTTGCTTAACTGAGTCCTTTA